ATCGGTCTTCTTTTTTAATGGATTGATCGTTTCTGGGAGGGCTTAATGATAACGATTCGCTCTATCTGTTTTTTAGCTCTGAAATTAATAATGTATCCTACTGTTCCAGTATCTATATGGATGGCTTACTAATTTTAACTTGACGTTTCACTCTTTTATGTTCTGGATAACCCACATTCGTCACCCATTACCACGCATACGGTACACTCGGAACAACTACGCATTGTTTTAGTTGAAATTACTTATATCGGGATTATTTGTGTTGACTTATCAATGCGCCTGGTCCAATAACCTTATCCTTATCATGCTGTTAGCTGTTGTCCTTGTCTAATTATGCACGATATCTGTAATGTAGGTTCGTTTCTGTGAAGAGAAAGTGATTTAATGAACAATGAAGATTGATATCTAGCAGAATTATTATGTTGATGCTATAGATTCAGTAGAATTTCATTGGAAAATTTATTTCGCTAATCGCGTGAAATCCTCTTCGATCGACTTTCTTTACATTTCCGGATTTGTACACGCATCATCGATTTCAGTTATTAATTTTTTTACTAATTGATTAGGAGGTCGAACTGAACATTTTACGTAATATAATAAAAACAATTTTTTTTATATGAGAACGACATCGATTTGCAATTAGCATTGAAAGTGATTAAATATTCCTAAGTTTTTGTCAGTATGCTTATAACGTTACGTAATTTTTGTTTGATTATTATTTACAGTTTGTGCACTTTGATTCTGTTTATACCTTCACAGTTGTCTGGTACAAAAATAAACAAAATTTGAATTTTCAGTTTTGAATTTCTAGTACTTTTTAATTTAAATCCTTAACTTTATTGTACATGGTGTTCGTTATGTGCTATTTTTTATATATAAAATATTTCTGAGCTATAAACGATAGCTTATATTATCAACTGAAATTATTAAAGAAATACAAATGTTTATATTTTTCAAATAATAGTTCCACTTAGGACCATATATATCATACAATAATTCAGACTTTTAAATCAATATGTATCGCATTGACCCAGAATTTCATTGAAATTGTTATTCTTATGTATTAACATTCTAAATAATATATCTTCTGCTATAATCAGATGTCTTTTTCGTTATTGTTTTAATTAATAAAATATATCCATCATCATACATTAACTTACTAAATAAACTGCCGAGATTTTTTTTAGTAAGAATCTTTTCTTTCTGTAGTAAATTGTATTAATTATTTAAATCTGCACCTAGTCCGCAGAAACATATTACATAAGTTAAGGATTTTCATAATGTTTTACTTAACAAACGAACTTTTTATGGGTGCAATAAACATTAAAATTGTTGCGGAAGTAAATACTTGATGATACAAGTAATAAATATATGGAAATGTAGAAAAGTGCTGATGAAAGTTCGAGAAATATAGTAGCAGGTCTACGTTAATATAAAGAATACAACTTACGTGAGTATAGATAGAATTAGTCTGTCAATCTCTTTTACTCGCGCAGTCCAATAGAGTCTTCGTTGATTGGCAGTTTAGGACAGCACGGGAAACGTATATTGCGTAGTTAAAAGTTAAGGCGACAAATTTTGAAGTAAGGACACCAATAAATTGATAATTTCGAAAGTTTGTTACCTAACATTGCCGAATCTCTACTAAATTAGCGTAGACACTGGTTATCAAGGAGTTTCTTAAAATTCGTCTACACCGCATCATTATTCAATTTTCCTCGAGCTTAGATTTATTTTCACTAAGAAAGTACAAGTAGATGATTAAAGACACGTCGAAAATAATATTACAGAAAACAATAAAATTTAACTTTGACTGGAAAATCACTAATTCTGCGTTCCACTGGTTGGTGATTGTTGCGTCAAGAGTTACTCACTATTATTCAATCACTCATATTTCAATTATAACTGCGAAACAATAGCTGCGCAACAAATCTTCTGCAATGAATATTCATTGTTTTTAAAAATATTATTAAAAGAGAGGGTCATCTGTAAAACACAATCAATACTTACAAATGTTGAAAAATATTGTGCTTTATTTTGTTCCTTGTAAAAAAATGAAGAACTTTCATATTTAGCTGTTTTCCCATCTCTAATCAGTTGTTCAGATATTTCATAAAATAGATTTTTCATTTCTAATGTATTATTTCTATTTTAGAGCCTATTTCGACTTTGCAATTATGAATATTGACAACTGTAGGATAAAACGTAGTAAGTATTTTTTGGTGCTCCATATACGAACCACGTTTCGCTGTAATCAGTGCGTTCGAGTTGAGCGATGTTTCTTGTCAGTAATATATAATACGTTGTTGCGATATGGCTAGCACAGTACGTAATTTTCGCGAAATGAATCGTCTCGTTAGACGGAAATCCAAGGTAACCATTGTCGGATCGCTATATGGATAAGCATACTGGTCGCTTGTGTTGGATCACGAATTCAGAGGTCAATGGGCATCAGCGTACGCGGCATCGTTCTCGACAGTTGGGAAAGTCAGGCGTGTTTCGCAATTCGGAGACAGAGATTGGCCAAGCAAAAAAGAACTATATAGAAATGGTCGGAGTTCCCCTTCACTGAACGCTAACAAAGTCAATTTCATTCCATTACTAGCTTCTTTCGCGTTTATTGGAATAAAAAGTGTTATAAACGCAAGATGAGGTATATACGAGAGCAACGGTTCAGCTTTATCGTTTTAAACTTCTACATTTCAGTAGTCGTATAATATTGTTTATAAATCTTGTTGTAGTTAATGTGCAAGATTTATTTAAAAAAGGTTAGTAATCTTATTATTTTTCCTGCGACTATTGTAGATACTTCTTAGCTGGTAAACATGTTTAATCAGAAATAGATATTTCAACTAGTTTATTGCATGAAAAACTTGCCTTTAAGTAACTTCACTTTCACTGTTGCTAAGAAGCGATTTCTTAAAACGATTTTAAAATAAAACTTATAAGACAAGTCGTTATTTATATTTATCTTATTTCATAGATCCTTTTAGAAGTTAGGTCACGCGATTAAACAGGGATTAATGTATAGTTTGAAACAGACGTAGATGTAACCAAATTATTATTTTACGTAAAAAGACCTTTGTGTAGGCAGCAGGTTGTTGTGTTTTAAATAAAGATTTAGCCCAACGAATTATATATACGCACAAACTTTCTGATATGTAGACATAAAATAAATTATACATTCTTCACTAAATACAGATAAATCTCCTTTCGAGAGTGCAAACGATGTTCTGCTTTTGGTCCTTATTCGCAATAGTAGCAATTGAAAGGCCCTTGCAGCTTCTTTGCACTCATTCATGGTCGTCACTTGTATCGCCTGTTCGGGTTCCAACGCCTGGAGGTATTTTCATTGCCAACACGTCTTTCAAACCGAAAGTACAAGCGCTCGAACCCAAGCCGTTTACACCTACGTCGATATCACTGCCATCGGATAGTGAATGGTTATATAATTCAATATTTTTATACATTTACTTCAAAAACGGAAGTTAACCATAAATATTCCGTATCAATGATTTTACTAGTTTTTAAATCAACAGGTGGCTTTGTTAAATAAGGAAGCAATGTTTACAAATAACGAGATGTATTAAAAAACCATCCCTTTTATTATGTTTTCTTCAGGGATTGAAATGGTTCCGAAAATAACTGTTTGAAACTGTTATATATCGTTATAGATAACTGAAATAGTTATCGAGAATCGAAGTAAACTCATAACTGGTATTTGGTATATCGGTTCTGAGTTATATCGGTTTCGGTTCCGGTTCCGTAACTGTTATTTTTCGGTTTTGCATTTTGGTTCCGTATTTCGGTTCCGCATTTCTTTCAAAACCGAAAAATACAGTTATAGAACCAATATAATATCGGTTTTCTACTTTAGGAATATAATGAACAAAATTGTTTGCACATTGCTTAATATTTATAATCTAAATGTAATTTTATATGTTTACGTGCGACGATCAAAATAATGGTTGCCAGCTACAATCCGTTTACTATTATCTAATTACTACAATTATCGGATTATACGGAAATAATTATGAGAATATAAGTATACAGCTTAATTGAAAAAATGATAACTTTTGAAATGTATTTGCAATGAAATTTCATGGATCCTTCAGGCTCTTTTAACTGAATGTAATTTCTTATAAGAAAAATAACAGTCGTTCGTTTTAATAATGAAATAATGATAGACTCGTACTTGAAACTGTCATGTAGGTATGTTATAAGAAAAGGTAAAGTGACTTCCTGAAGAATTTATTGAAGCGAATAAAACTCGAAGCATGATGGGGGATAGAATATGGTTTAACGACTCGAGGAAAGTTTCTTTGGCGAAAGTTAGTCGCTTTGTATCCAGCGAGGTTTGCGAGAAATGAAATTGTTCTACGTTCGGCCGATGACTTACGTCCGTTTCAATTGTCAAGAACTACGAAAATGTTATCTATTCCATTGAAGTAATCGCGTATTAGGGATCGATCGCCGAGTAGAATATTATAGAAAACTAATATGATAGGTCATTTACATATGACCTCGAGCAGCAGGTAAGCTAGGTGAAAGTGAATAAAGTAATGATCAACGCAAAAATAATCCAGCAAATCTTTTAGACTGACGATTCAATGTTTGGTTATAATCACATTTTTATATATAACAGACAGTATATATATATATATATATATATATATATATGTATGTATGTATGTATGTATGTATGTATGCAATTGGTTGTTTAAAAAACTAGGAACAGAATTTATCCAGTACTTAAGATAGTTGTCTTTGATAAATTACCATCATAAATTTCAATCGATATTTTACAATGATTTATTCAAATCGTATAAC